GCCTGCCTGCCTCCCAGGATGTGAGACGAGGGCAGGATCAGGATGCATCCGGACGCGGACGAATCCGCCGACCCTGTCGGCGTGTGCGAGGGGGTCTGCCGTCCGAGTCGTATTCGTCGCCGTGGTCGCTGCTCCCCCTTTCCCTGGGCCCTCGTCCACAAGAGCGCCAGCCAACGGGGAATCGAGCAACGCTGTAGCTGAGTCGCAAGGGAGTCCACCCTTTCGCTTCAATTCATAGGGGGCCACATGCGAACCCCACCCCTACCCCCCACGATGTCTGAGGGGGAGGGTGGGGTTCGCATGTGGCCCCCAAATTCAATTTCGCGCCGTGTCCTTGTGGGGAGACGCGAGCCGGGGGCCGAGCCCCTCCCCAGACCCCCTCGCGCTGTGAAGACATCGCGACGGGGAGCTTCTCGCTGTCTTCTGCCTCTGGGACGAGCCAGGCACCCCCGCAGCGCCCCAGGCGAGGCGCAGCTGCTTGAGAGCGTGGCCCAAGGCAGGGTCGCGTCGATCGAGGAGCCGATGACACGTGGAGCAGGGCGAGCTGAGACAACGGCAGCTCGAAATCAGTCCGCGGACTCCTCCCGGGCTCCAAGCGCACCACTTTTCCGAGCTACGTCCAGCCGTGGCGACGAGATGGCACTCCGAAGGCCAACTGACGCTGTCTCAACGCGCCCTCCTCTGAGACAACGCCCGAAAATTGCGAACCCGCGAATCACACCTCGGGTCTCCAGGAAGATCTGGGCACCCCTGGAACACCCTCGGCGAGGCGCAGCTGCTGAAGCGCATCCCGAGGCTGGACCGCCGCCGAGAACCGATGAGAACGCCCGAAAATCTCGAAGCTCGGGCGACGACGACGACGACGACGATGACGACGACCGGGAGGAGGAGAAGGAGGAGGAGGAGCAGCAGGAGTAGGAGGAGGATGAGGAGCAGGAGTAGGACGACGAGTAGGACGAGGAGGAGGACGAGGAGTAGCATGTGAAGAAGGAGTATGAGGAGGACGAGGACGGGGATGAGGAGGACGATGAGGAGGACGAGGATGAGGAGGACGAGGACGAGGAGGAGGACGAGGAGGGGGAGGAGGAGGAGGAGGAGGAGGGGGAGGAGGCGAAGGAGGAGGACGCCGAAAATGCAGAGGAGGAGTAGGAGGAGAGTAGAAGGAGGAGGAGGAGGAGGAGGAGGAGGAGGAGCTTGAGGAGGAGGAGAAGGAGAAGGAGGCGGAGGAGAACCAGTGTAAACCCAATATTCATCTGAGATGTTGGAAGAAACCCTTCCTCCAAGCTCCCTCTTCATAGGCCCCTACAAAAAAAGTTTCCAGAAGGAAATGCCTCGTTGGGAGACAACCGCTTGAAGATCCTCAGTCGTGCCAAAACAGCATTCTCGGGACGTCAACGCCACGGATGAACCTGACTGTTGCGTCTTGACGATCCTGAATCGCGCCAGAACGCCCTTCCCTGGGGCCTCAACACCGCGAATCCACGTAACTGTTGCGCCCTGGCAACCCTGAATCGTCCCAACACGCCGTTCCTGTTAACCATGGGAGTCCGTGAAACTGTTGCAATTGTTTAAGGCGGGTGTGCGCGGCGCTAAGGCGAGAACCACATTTTGAAAAGGAGCCACCCTCAAGCCGTGAAGTTCTTGCATTTGTTATAAACCGAGTGGGCGCGGCGCTAAGGCGAGAGCTATATTTCGAAAACGACCTGCCCTCAATCCGTGAAGTTCTTGCAAAGTGTCGAAACGAACGTGCGCGGCGTTAGAGCGAGAACCACATGTTGAAAACGGCCCGCCCTCGTTCCGTGAAAGTCTTGCATTTTTTTGCAACGAATGCGCGCGGCGCTCAGGCGAAAACCACATTTTGAAAACGACCCGCCCTCAATTCGTGAAGCTCTTGTAAATTTCAAGAACGAGTGCGCGCGGCATTGAGGCGAGAGCCACATTTTGACCCCCCCGCCCTCCATCTGTGAGCTTTTCTCATTTTTTTAAGCTTCAGGGTCATCAGTGGTAAGGAAGTCTTCCGCGAAACGCCCGACGCGCCCTTTCAACCAGCCTCGGGGTGCGACAGGGAGGAGTTATCCATAAGGAAAAGGAATGGAGAAGGAGGAGGAGGAAGAGGAGAAGGAGGAGGAGGAGGAGGAGGAGGAGGAGGAGGAGGAGGAGGAGGAGGAGGAGGAGGAGTGGGACGAGGGGGGGAGGAGGAGGGGGAGGAAGAGGAGGAGGATGAGGAGGAGGGGGAGGAGGAGCACGTGACGGAGGAGGAGGATGAGGAGGAGGAGGAGGAGGACGAGGAGGAGGAGGAGGAGGAGGACGAGGAGGAGGAGGAGGACGAGAGGAGGAGGAGGCGGAGGAGGAGGAGGGAGGAAACGACGACGAGACGACGACGACGACGACGACGATCCTCGGAGCTGCTGCTGCCCCGCGAGGACAGCTGCTCCGGGCCCAGCAGCGCCTGCTGCTTGGCCGCGGCGCTCCTGCGACGCCGGCAGCGCGGCAGGCGGGCCGGCGGCCTCGGCGGCGCGCGCAGAGCGCAGAGCGCTCGCCCCTCGGCCCGGTCGTCGAGGATCGGGGCTCGAGGAGGAGGAGGAGGAGGAGGAGGAGGAGGACGAGGAGGGGGATGAGGGGGGGGAGGAGGAGGGGGAGGGGGGAGGAGGGGGAGGAGGGGGGGGAGGGGGAGGAGGGAGGAGGAGGAGGAGGAGGAGGGAGGAGGAGGATGAGGAGGAGGAGGAGGAGGAGGAGGATGAGGAGGGGAGGAGGAGGAGGAGGAGGAGGGGGATGAGGAGGAGGAGGAGGAGGGGAGGAGGGGGGGAGGAGGGGGGAGGAGGGGGGGGAGGAGGAGGAGGAGGAGGAGGAGGAGGAGGAGGAGGAGGAGGAGGAGGAGGAGGAGGAGGAGGGGGAGGAGGAGGAGGAGGAGGAGGAGGAGGAGGAGGAAACGACGACGGGGCTCGAACACCGAGGAGGAGGCTCGAGGGCCGAGGGCCGAGGCTCGAGGCTCGGCTCCCTTCGAGGCCAGAGCCTCGAGGGGGAGGCTCGAGGCCCGAAGGTCCAGGCTCCCCTCGAGCTCGAGGCTCGAGGGTCGATGCTCGAGGTTCGAGGCGGGCTGGTGGGCTGAAGGCGTCGGCGGCTCGGGAGTGGCTTGCTGCAGCTGTCCATGCGAGGCGACATCGTCCGTAGACGTTCCTGTGCCTCCTCGCGCCGTGAGGCAACACGACGGACAGTCGGACATCCTCCAAACTCAGCCTCCGTGGCCGCCAAGATGCCCAAGATGCCTCCTGAGGTGGCTCCCAGAACGGCTCCGATACGCTGCGGAGGCCTCAAGAACATCCGAGATGGCCTCAAGATGGCCCAATGCGCCCCCTAAAGCCGCCGAACAGAGAGCCCGGAGCCCATTTATAGCTCCACTAGACAAAATCCATTGATTCTCAATCGGCTTTTGAATTATTTCCGCGATCTTGCCATCTTGGGCTTCTGAAGCTCCAAGATGGCCGACAAACCACCTCGGACCAGCCAACGACGGCCCAAGTGCCCGCCAGATGGCCCGGAGACAGCCCCAGGGATCCTTCTCGCGCGTGGGCGGCGCAACAGGTCCGTCCTCAACGGAACTCGACCATTACCGAGATCAGGCTCATTTTCCATCGGCGGAGGCACACCGCCGATTCTGGTGCTGGTGTCAACCTCTGGGCCTCCGAGATTGGGGCCCCAGAAAGTCGGTCAGGAAGAAAGGATGAAGCCAAATCCGGTCAAAGTCGGCCCTGGACCCCTCCAGGGCCCATCTGGCGCAATTTTTCACCCTGGATCCGTCTTTGAAGGTCCCGGGGCCCAGTAACGGCCCCAGGAGGCCGAACAAAAAAACAGTCCCGCACCCAGAGCCTCGAACCTTTCCGCCCCTCCTGCTGGCCAGAATTAGTGCTGGGCCATCTCAGACCCCCACATGGCTCCCAGCCCAGAAGTCCTTCTCCCTCCCCCCTGGCGCTCGTCCCCTTCCCCACTGCTCACGCCGCCGCCGCCTTACTGCACTGCACTTGCTTGTCTGGTGCCCGCTCGGAATTCCTAGTTGGACTACATGTTCTGACGGCTGCAGCGCCGCCATTTTGCTGACGCCTGCTGGCGGACTTCGGAAACCCTGAACCCCAACATGTTGCTGTCTCTTGGAGGGCATTTTTTTTTAACTCCCGCCGCCTTCCGCCGTCCCTCCGCCAGCCTCCCCGCCGGTGGAGGCTCTTGGAGGGCAACTTTTTGTTGACTCTCGCCGCCTTCCGCCAGCCCTCCGCCAGCCTCCCCGCCGGTGGAGGCGGCCTCGTTCTACTTCCGCCGACCTTCCGCCGCCCTTCCGCCGCGGAAGAGATTCTCGGACTCGGACTCGGCTCCGCGCGTGTGGCGCCATGAAGGCGCCGCGGAGGGGGCGCCGAGGCGACTGCATGGAAGAAATCGGCAACACAGCATTCATATGTGAAAATTATGCATGAGAGGCGTCAGAGGATGAGGAGGAGGAGGAGGAGGAGGAGGAGGAGGAGGGGGAGGAGGGGGAGGAGGAGGGGGAGGAGTCATCAACGATGTTGGAGTAAACCCTCTCTCCAAGCTCCCTCTTCACAGGCCCCTAAAAGGATCCATGTCCACTGAATGAACTGCCTCGTTGGAAGACAGCCGTTTGAAGACCCTGAAGCAAGCTAGAACATTACTCTCGGGACTCCAATGCCACGGATCAACCGGACTGTTGCGTCTTCACGATCCTGAGCCGTGTCAGAACGCCATTCTTGGGACTTCGACACCGCGAATCAACGCAACTGTTGCGCCCTCATAATCCTGCAGCGTTCCAAAACACAATTTCTGGTACGTTGACAATGGGAATCCGTGAAATTCTCGCGGTTTTTTAAAGGAGTGTGCGCGGCGCTGAGGCGAGAACCACATTTTGAAAACGACCCGCCCTCAATCCGTGAGACTCGTTCAAAAGTTGTACAACGAATGTGCGCAGCGCTAACGCGAGAGCCGCATTTTGGAAACGGCCCGCCCTCAATCCGTGAAACTCTTGTAGTCCGTTAAAGCGAATATCCGCGGCGCTAAGTCGAGAGCCACATTTTGAAAACGACCCGCCCTCCATCTGTGAAGCTGTTGCCAATTTTGAAGTTTTAGGATCATGAACGGTGAGGAAGTCTCAGGCGAAACGCCCGGCCCGCCCTTTCGACCAGACTCAGGGTACGTTTTGTTGTTGTTGAACATTATTAATTCTAAAGAATAATTATTGTTGGGACCCCTGGTGCACGGCCCCCCCGCCGCGCCTAGGCCGCAGCTGCATTTTCATCATTTTTTCGCGAAAGCTTCAGAAAAGTGGATGGGGTCCAGATCCGGTTGTTTTGTTGTAATCCGTTTTCCCTTGCAAAAAACACTATAAAATGACATTTCTTGTTCTAATATAATCAAATTTCAAGAATCCCTTGCAAAAAATAAGGTAAAGTGGACATTCGCGCGCGCAAGACGAAATCCTTCCAAAAGCTTAGTGTTCGGAGCGATTTTAACATAAAAACATCAAAAAACCAATGGTTTTTCAACAAAAAAATGTCAAAATCTCATCCCGCGCGCTCTTGCGGATTCGTAGGAAACCCAACACTTTTTAAACATTTCTGTCAAACGGGCTTTTGCGAGCAACTTTTTCGAACTTCTGCGACAACGGTTGCGCACCTGCCAGGGCCATCATCCCTGTCAAATAATACCATGCGGGACACATTCGTTTTTTCTTCGCGGACAACCATATCTCTCTCTCTCTCTTGTGTATTCCCACATCCCTCAGGAATTTGCCCTAAAGATGTGATCAACTATCTTGTGAGTACGTATCATGTGTATCATGTGTATCATGTACCATATGCATCATATGCAACAGATGTTCTGTGGAAGGCTTAACAACTTCTGTGGGTTAACAAGGCTTAACAACTTCTGTGGGTGTACGAACGTAGGCTTAACAACTTCTGTGGGTGTGTACTCCACGCCAGTGTAGTAGCCACGGTCGTCCGCAGGCCACGAAGTGAAGTGTCCGAACGTCATAGGGCGGGAAGCTGGGTGTGGGTGGTGGCGAAGAGTCGTGTGGATATTTGGTAGAGCTTGCACTGCCCCCCCACAAAGTGGGGGTATTGGCTGGCGTCGCATGAAAACCCTGGCACTGGTGAGAACACTGAGCGTTCGGGTAAAGTGATTGTTGTTGTTGTTGTTGTTGTTGTTGTTGTTGTTGTTGTTGTTGTTGAATATTATTACTTCTAAAGAAATATTATTGTTGAGACCCCTGGTGCGCGACCCCCCTCCAAAACCTAGGCCGCAGCCTCATTTCCTTCATTTTCTAGCGAAAGCTTCAGAAAAGTGGATTGTGTCCGGATCCGGTTGTTTTGTTGTAATCCGTTTTCCCTTGCAAAAAACACTATAAAATGAAAATTCTTGTTCTTACTTGATCAAATTGCAAGAATCCCTTGCAAAAAATAAGGTAAAGTGGACATTCGTGCGCGCAAGACGAAATCCTTCCAAAACCTTAGGTTTCGTAGCGATTTTAACATAAAAACATCAAAAACCCAATGGTTTTTTAAGAAAAAATTGTCAAAATGTCCTTCCGCGCGCGCTGTCCGAATCCCACAAAACCAATGGTTTTTCAACATTTATGTTACATGAGCTCGCGCGAGCTACTTTTTCTTGTTCTAACATAATCAAATTTCAATAATCCCTTGCAAAAAATAAGGTAAAGTGGACATTCGCGCGCGCAAGACGAAATCCTTCCAGAACCTTAGGTTTCGTAACGATTTCAACATAAAAACATCAAAAACCCAATGGTTTTTCAAAAAAAAATGTCCAAATTTCATCCCGCGCGCGCTGTCCGACTCCCACAAAACCAATGGTTTTTCAACATTTATGTTACATGAGCTCGCGCGAGCTACTTTTTCTTGTTCTAACATAATCAAATTTCAATACTCCCTTGCAAAAAAAAAGTAAAGTGGACATTCGCGCGCGCAAGACCAACAAAAAACACGACGATCTCAGGAACTTGCCCCAAAAATGTGACCAACTCCGCTCTCTCTGTCTCTCTCTCTGTCTGCTCTCTGTCTCTCTCTCTGTCTGTCTGTGTCATGTATTGTATGTCACAATTGCAGGATGCTGGGCACACGCGCGCCCCGAATAAGTGACCAAGTTCTGTGGGTGTGTACCCCACGCCAGTGTAGTAGCCACGGTCGTCCGCACGCCACGAAGTGAAGTGTCCCAACGTCATAGGGCGGGAAGCTGGGTTTGGGTGGTCGCGAAGAGTCGTTTGGATATTTGGTAGAGCTTGAACTGCCCCCCCACGAAGTGGGGGTATTGTCTCGCGTCGCATGAAAACCCTGGCACTGGTGAGAACACTGAGCGTTCGGGTAAAATGATTGTTGTTGTTGTTGTTGTTGTTGTTGTTGTTGAACATTATTACTTCTAAAGAATAATTATTGTTGGGCCCCTGGTGCACGGCCCCCTCGCCGCGCCTAGGCCGCAGCCATGTTTTCATCATTTTCGTGAGGAAGTCTCCGGCAAAACGGGTTGGTCCGGATCCGGTTGTTTTGTTACGGGCGGTTTTCCCTTGCAAAAAATAAGGCAAAGTGGACATTTCTTGTTCTAACATAACCAAACTTCAAGAATCCCTTGCAAAAAATAAGGTAAAGTGGACATTCGCGCGCGCAAGACGAAATCCTTCCAAAACCTTAGTGTTCGTAGCGATTTTAACATAAAAACATCAAAAAGCCAATGGTTTTTTTTCAAAAAAAAGTGTCAAAATTTCATCCCGCGCGCTCTTGCGGATTTGTAGGAAACCCAACACTTTTTAAACATTTCTGTCAAACGGGCTTTTGCGAGCAACTTTTTCACGTGCTTCGAACTTCTCCACTTCGAACAAACTCAAAATAAGTGTCTTCGCTTGTGTGGTACAGAAACGGAAAAACGTCGTATCAGACGCTAGCGCCTCGCCAGCCAAAGCAGTCCATATCATTGTAGGACCTACAGACAGTACCGGCGTCGTACTGGTTTACCGTGGTTTCCTATTCTAGCGTCAGGAACACGTTACCACCAAAAACCAGTACAGGTGTCCAGTGTTGGAACAGGGGGAAAAGTCGTATACTAAGCTAGCGTCCAGAAAATGTTACCACAACAAGTCACTGTACCCATGCGCCAGTGTAGTAGCCACGGTCGTCCGCAGGCCACGAAGTGAAGTGTCCGAACGTCATAGGGCGGGAAGCTGGGTGTGGGTGGTGGCGAAGAGTCGTTTGGAAATTGTGGTAGAGCTTGAACCGGCCCCCCCACAAAGTGGGGGTATTGCCCGCCTCCTATGAAAACCCTGGCACTGGTGAGAACGGAGTGTCCCCACGTGCTAGTAATTGTTGTTGTTGTTGTTGTTGTTGTTGTTGTTGTTGTTGTTGTTGTTGTTGTTGTTGTTGTTGTTGTTGTTGTTGTTGTTGTTGTTGTTGTTTTTTTGTTTAAAACAAAAAAGGGACAGGAACGGAGGAGGAGACAGAGGAGGAGGAGAATGAAGAAGAGGAGGAGGAGGTGGTGGTGGTGGTGGTGGTGTAGGAGGAGGAGGAATGGAGGAGGAGGAGGAGAGCGCCCGGCGTCCGCCGCCGACGGCGGCAGCTCTCCGCGGCCCGCGGCGGCAACGGCCCGCGGCGGCAGCGGCGGGAGGCCTCGGCGTCGGCGGCGGCCGCCGCGACGCGCCGCCGCCCCGTTCCGCGTCGCCGTCGCCTCTGCGGGGGTCCGTCCCGCGCCTCGCCTCGTGCTGTCCCTCCCGCCGCCCTCCATTCTCCGTCCTCCCCCTCCCTCCCCCCTCCCTCCCTCGCTCCTCCCTCGCTCCTCCCTCCCTCCCTCCCTCGTCCCTTCCTCCCTCCCTCCTCCCCTCCTCCCGCCTCCCTCCCTCTTCCCTCCTCCTCCCTCCTTCCTCCCTGCATCCCCTCTCCTCCCTGGCTCCCTCCTTCCTCCTCCCTCCCTCCTGCTTCTCCGCTTCCCTCTTCTTCCCTCTTCTTCCCTCCTGCTCCTTTTCCTCCTCCTCCTCCTCCTCCATTTCCCCCCTCCTTCCCGCATCTTCTTCGCTCCTCCTCATTCCCGTCCGTCCTCCTTACAAGCAACTCCCCTGTCGCACCACCAGGCGTGTCCGCAGGCTGGCCGAGGCGTTTCGCCAGAGACTGTCCTGCAGTTCGCTGTGCTGAGTCAGTTGCGAAGACAGACATGGATGAAGTCTTTTTCAACATGCGACTCTCGCGTGGGCGCCGCGCACATTCTTTTTCAAACTTTCCAGCGGTTGCATGGATGGGCGGTGGTTTTCAACATGTGTCTCTCCTCTTCCCGCTGCGCATGTTCGCTGTGACAACTTCCAACACATACAGGGATATTGAGACGTTCCCGCATTAGCAGCCCGACATTTCAAAGTGTGTAACTTTTAGACGGATGGAGGGCGATGTGTTTTGAAACGTGATCTTTCATAACCAGAGCCAGAATGCGGAATGTCACCGCAGGGACCGTGAACGACAAACACACTATGCTACGGCAACGCGCTTTTGAGACATTCAAGCGCAGCTCTTGCGGCGGACCGCGTCCAAACGAGGAAGACACGTGGAGAGAGTCGGGACACATCGCGGCGTACGGTCCAGGCAGCATGTGCTCTAACGCATATCGGGCGCCATCGAGACACCTCTGTCGTGGACGACGGGCTGCAAGTCTCGTATCCGTTAGTCTGGCATGCGAGCTGCAGCTGCACACTTGCGCCTGCCGAGCTTGGAACTAACGCTCGGCTTGCCAATGCAATAGCTGCGATGCCATTGAACGACTGTTCCTGGAAACAATGGCGATGGCTTCACCAATGCCGCTGCCGACACACACTCGATCTTCCGCTGGAGACTTCCACGTCTGATGTGCAACACTTGCGCGGATGGACGGCTGATCCTTTTCAACACGGGGTCATCGCTGACCCTCCTTACGCTACCATCCGCCCGAGTCGTTCTCTTGCAGCAGAAAAGATGGAGGTCTCGCAGAGGAGGAGGAGGAGGAGGAGGAGGAGGAGGAGGAGGAGGAGGAGGAGGAGGAGGAGGAGGAGGAGGGCCAATACGCTGCGGCGCGCCGGTTCGTCGACCACGACGGCTGGAAAACCTCGACAGCCAAACGCTGTCATAGAGACCGGCCTCCGGACATGGAGAGGGGACGGGCTGCGAGGGCAGCCGACCACCAGATAATATGGAAAGTGCCGAGCGCTATCGAGGACCTGTGTCCTTCAAGAGCGGCTCGCGGACACGAACATAATAGTGACATGCTGTTTTGAGCGATAAATGACAGCAAGATGGAACAACATAATATTGACATGCAGTTGCTGCCGCTTGCACCGAGGAAGAGGAGGAGAGGAGAGGGGAAGCGAAGGAGGGGCAAACATTGAGTAAACAGGTTTGGCGCTGACGTCTCACCCTTGGCACGCGAAGATCGCAGCCTGTAGCGCACGATCCACCGCGGCAGCGGACGGGCGCTCTTCGCCCTCCTTGACCTTGTTATAAAGGTGGAAAGCCAACACGACTCGTCGAATGGCGGAGCGACGAGCGAGCGGGCCAGACGGAGGGTAGAATGTGCCAAGGGCCCACCGTTGGATCGGGTCGGCAGGGTCGGGGTCGAGGGAGGAAAGAGGAGACCTGTGAGACAGGGGCACGTGAGGTAGTGGCGGAAGTCGTCAACGGCGTGCGCGTCGGGGCATGCGAATCGACAGGGCCGACCACTAAGGACGTGCATACGCCCCCGTGTCGTCCAGCCGCCGCACGCCGTTTTGAGGAAAGCCCAGCGCCAGGACGGTCGCACTTGAATCAGTTCCCCCCGAAGCTCGCCCCACACCTCCCTCATCTCGGCCACCGTCCTGGGCGCCGCTCCGCCGTGCCATGCGCGGAGGCGGCGGTGGAGGAGGAGGTGGAGGCGGTCCAGGAAAGAAGCGGGGAGGAGGGTGCGCGCGATGGCACGCTGGATGTGGGGCTTCCTGCGCGTCACCGATGCTTGCTGGCGCTCATCCCGCGCTGCTTGCCGCGCAGCCTGAAGATCCTGCGCGCGAAATGGCGGCAAGTCCTCACTCCCTTCCGCCGCCGCAGCCAGGTGCTGGGCAAAGGCCGTCGGGTCCTCCCAAAAACGCGGCGACCACTCTCCCTTCCTGAAATCCATGTGGAAAGCATGATCTTCCGCCGCGCTCCGCAGACGTTCCAGGGCCAGCCTCCAATCCGGGAGAGTATGCAGAGCCATGCGCATGCGCGCAGCGGTGGTCATGATCTCCAGGGAGGGAATGGCGCCTGCTGGGAACCACGCGGCCAAACTTAAAAGCTCAGAGCGTGAGAACGAGCTAGGGGGGAGTTTGAGGAGCGAGTGAAGGGCTAAGAATTCCGAGCGAGCCATGCGCGGCAAAGGCACGAATTGGGCGACATATATGATAGAGACGACACCGCGTGGGATGCATACAAGCGGACCGCGCTGTCGGGCGGAGCGTTAGTCGTTGGTATCTTATGGGTGCGGCTCCACTACTTCTGCCGTGGGCCGTGCCACTGCCGCGCTCGATCGGCGCCTGGCCCCATGAACAGATCTAAGTAGGGAGAGGGAGGAGTAGGTGGAGGGGGAGGGGGAGGGGGAGGGGGAGGAGGGAGGAGGAGGAGGATGAGGATGAGGAGGAGGAGGAGGAGGAGGAGGAGGAGGAGGAGGAGGAGGAGGAGGAGGAGGAGGAGGTGTTGTTCTTGTGCAGCAGAAGAGATGGAGGGCGGAGCCTTTACAACATCAGGGCCTTGCCATAGGGGGGCGCTGTCACCAGCGAAAGGGAATACTCGTACGGTGTATTGCAGCATCGCTGACGCATCCTGGGTTTACTCTTGTCCTCCTCTTTCTCCTCCTCCTCCTCCTCCTCCGCCTCCTCCTCCTCCCCCTCACTCCCTCCCTCCCTCCCTCCCTCCTGTATGCTCCGCCCTTTTCCTCCTCGTCCTCCCCCCTCGCCATCATGCTTCTCCATCCCTCCTGCTTTCCCTCTTCCCACCTCCCTCCCCCCTCCTCTTTCCTCCTCCCTTCATCCATTCCCCCCCTCTTCCCTCCTCCTCCCTCTTCCCCACTGTTCCGCCTCCCTGGGAGCAACAGGAGGGACCATGGAGGGCGGAGGAGGGGAATGCTGAAGAGGAGAAGGGAGGAAGATAGAGGAGGGAGGGCAGGAGGGAGGACGAGCAGGGGGAGGAGGGAGGGAAGGGAGGAGAAAGATAGTGAGGAGGAGAAGGGGGAGAAGGAGGAGATTCAGAGGATGACCGAGGAGGAGGGGTGGGGAGGGACGAAGAGGAGGGATGAGAAGGGAAGGGATGATGGGGGAGGAGAAGGAGAAGGACGAGGACAATGACTGCGAAGAATCCTCTTCACCCGATGGGGGCGGAGGAGGGGGAGGGTTGGGGTGGGCGCGGCGGTGGCCGTGGCCGGTCTTGGGACCCCCCCTCACGTCCTGTCTGCCGCCTCGTCCAGTGGTCGAGCCATGCCTGCGGTCGACGACGACGACGACGACGACGACGACGGCGGGGAAGACGACGACGGACGGAGGGGAAGGCAATCAGGGCGGAGGAGGGGGGAGGGGGACGAGAGGATGAGGAGAGCACGGGGAGCACGGAGAGGAAGATGCCGAGGCGGAGGAGAGGGAGGGTGCCGACTGCACGATGGCGCAGGCTTTGCACCGACGGCGCACGAGCATGTGCTGGCGTGGTGCCAGCACGAGAGAAGTCCGGGCGTCAAGTGCCAGCACAGCGTGCCCAGCACTGCTGCCAACATGGCCGCGAAGCACTGGCCAACCGGCCGCGTGGGCGTGTTGGCGGCCGGCCTCGTCGAGCTCCTTTCTGTATGGGCCGGGGGGCAGACGAGGAAGCAACGACAGCGTCGCGCGGCACGCCTTCGACCGTTCTCCTCTCATTTTTTCGTGTATGCCGCAATGGCCTGTGCCGTTCGGGCCAAGGATGTGTCCCGCCCAGTGTCCGTGCAGTCCGTGCAGCGCATCAAAGAAACAAGGATGATGGTGATGATGATGATGATGATGCTGCTGATCATGATCATGATGGTGATGTTGCTGCTGATGATGAGGATGATGCAGATAATGATGATCAGGATGATGATGGTGATATAGTTGTGATGCTGATGAAGAATGTATTTCTGACGATAACTACAGTGGTGGTGATGATTATGATATCATGATGACGGTGATGATGATGCTGACAATGATGGTAGTGATGATGATGATGATGCTGCGGCTGCTGCTGATGATGGAGAAGGTGGTTGTGTTGATGACGATGACAACAATGATACATAAAGTGGTTGTGATGATGTACACCGTGGTTGTGATGATGATGCTGATGATGATGATGATGATGACGAGTCTGATTGTGATGACCATGGTGAATGTGATGATGATCATGACAATGGTGCTGATGAAGACGACGCCGATGATGATGCTGATGCTGATGATGATCATGATGCTGATGCTGATGATGATGTTGATGATGCTGGTACTGATTACGTATGATTATGATTATGATGATTTTTAGTATCGTTAATACTATCGATAGTATGATGCTGCTGCTGCTGATGCTGATTCTGACGATGGTGATGACTATGGTGATGGTGATGCTGATGGTGGTGAGGAGGATGAGTAGGAGGAAGAGATGCGAGAGAAGAAAGCGGGGAGGAGGAAGAGGGAGATAGGGGGAAGGACGGACACACAAGAGAGACTAGTGGTTCTGTGAGGGTTGGGGAGAAGAGCGAGGGAGTGTGTATGGGGTTGAAGTACAAGAGTACAGAACCCCTGATCCGTTGGTAGAGAGATGGAGGGATAGATGGAGATCTTTCCCTCCCAAGCGATCAAGGTACGATCGCTCCAACTCAGTGCCTGAGCCCAAACGGCCAGGTGCGGGAGAGGTAAGGATAAGGAGTATATATGAGGGTATTACACGGGTTCCATACACACCCCCCGTCCCGAATCCCGCCCGTGAAGGCAGGACTCGGGATCAGGAGGATGGAATCCGTAACCTCAGAACTCCTTTACCTTAAGTCTGAAAAGGCAGCTGGGCTAAAAGTCAGCGAAGCCACAGCTGCAAAGTGAGGTAAGAAGAGATACCTTGGGTCTCTTTTTCTTCTCCAGGCGGTCATTGCCGCCCCCTCGGTGCGCCCCCCAAAACGCTTCGGCACTCGAGGGAGGAGAAGAATGAGACAAAGGTAGGCGGAGAAAAAAGATCTGAGCATCAAGGCAACGTAAACCGCCTCGCAAGATTTGCGAGGCAGGTGTTGCCACCAGCTATCAGATTATTCTCGACGCAATATTGTTAAATTGTTAAAATATGCATGCTAAGATCGTGTTGACGAACACAATCTTGAAATCAAACACAAGTCTGCCTAAAAGCAAATGTATGCCAAGATCGTGTTGACGAACGCGATCCTGAAAGAAATGCAAATCTGTGTTGAAGTACCTGGCCAGGAGAAAATGTCGTGTTGATGAACACGAAAATGATGTATAAAATCTGTTTGGCGACTCCCGTTGGCGTTGCTCCTTAGGAGGCTGCCTCGGTGATCGCAAAAGATATCTATATGTGTGTATGGCCACTTGTGTGAAAGATTGAAGTGGCCTAAAAGAATGTATTAGCCACCGCTCAAGGCGAACTTTGATGAACGGAAGTTCTGCTCTTGAGCAGTGGGCCTTGCGGCCGACTCACTACGCGTCGCCGTCCTTGTAGAACCTGCGGTCCCACACCCTCTGGCCGTTGTACGTCACATAGCTTGTCGTAAACGTTTCCCAAGTGGTCCTCGGGATCCAGTTGCGGAACCAATCGTTGTACGTGATATCCTGGATGTACACATACTCGTCGTTGTTGATCGCAATGTAGATCCAACATTTGATGTAATAACTCCAGTATCGAAGACCCCAATCGCTGTCCTCGAGATTGTGGCGCCAGTAAGCAGCGTAATCAGATGTACGTGCTCTCTTGGCGCGCGGCATCGCGGGCATGTAGTCCTCTGCGCCTGAGGCGCTGGATGCAGCGGCGTCGCCAGGAGCAGGGCGCGGCGGCGGCCGCGGCGGCGGCCGCGGCTCCATGGCGTCATCGGACTGTTGGGAGTGTGTATCTGGATCGGTTCTCATCCCTGTACTACCCCCCCCTCTGGTCAGTGTGTGACGGATCGAGGGAGCCTATCAGCTCGTTGGCAATCGCGGCAAGCTTGCGCTGGGTGAACTGTTCACGGGTTCCGTCCCCTCGAGGGAGAGAAACCGTAATCAGTCCGCGCGCCTGCCGCGTCTGCCTGTCAATGCGTCCCTCGTTCAGCCACCACTTTCTCCGACCAGCCTGTCCTGTCCTAATACTGACGTCAAGGATGTCCCACGCGTCGCGCATGTCCTCGACTCTCCAGGGCTTCTTGCCGACATTCACGCGGGCTCCTGTCATCTGATGATGGAATCTGAGGTCGTTGAGAAAGCGTTGAATGAGATTGGCGTATGGGTAGTACAGAGGTCGGTCGTCCTCGGATTCGCCCATTAATCTGCATTCGTGTGCAGGCGGGCTACCGGCTTCGACCCACTTCTGATACCTCTTCTTGGACGTATTGGCCAATCTCCGCAACTGATCTTTCTCTGTGCCTATGGGGGATCGCGCACCCGTCATAATGACATGTGCGCCATCCTTCATGTATCTCGCGACCTGGTCCTCGGACAACGTCGTCTTGATCCAGTTCGTCAACTTCTGGAGGTACGCGAGGTCACTCTGTGTGGCGGTGCTCTTACCTGTGGCGCCTACGGCCACAGTGTATTGCCAACATATATCACAGAGTGTGCCGTCACCTGTGACGATACCGAGGGACAGATCTCGACCGCAATTGTTACAGAGCGGTATGGGATGCAAGATCGTCTCGGGGGCCCCTGCCGAAGTCAGGTGATCGCGGGATCCCCAGCGGGTGTCCTGACCGCGAGCGAGGCTCTGACCGATCTGATTGATCGCCTCACGATTGATCTCGGTGTTTGGTCTGGAAGCGATCGATCTGCTTAAACCCTCGATCTCGATCCGAGACAACCTTTCCCCTGCCAGTCCTTTGTGCTCTATCTTGACGTTGTCGGTGTCCTCAGTACCGCCATGGCATACCTTCTCTTCGCGAAGACGGCGAGCCTGCTTCTGCAAGGTAGCCTCGTTGTCGCCCTCCTCGCGCTTGAGTCCCGTCTGTTCAGCTATGATGCGTTCCATAGTCTCCTGATCGGGAGCTGCAGACGCAACGCTGCCTGGGTCCTGGGGAATATCCTGCTCAGCGCCCTCCTCTCGAGGCGCAGCAGGTGTTTCCACCAGCTCTTCCCACGCAGGAAACTCTGGATCACCGTATGTCGCAGTACAATTTTTGTATAGGTCACGCAATGCCTGAAGTGCAGGATGGTTGTCAGGGATGACTTCCTTGGCGAAATCTGGTAGCTCCACAATACTATCTTTCAAGATGTTCTGGTATACTTTGGAAATCCATTGAAAGATGCCAGTGGTCGACTCCTCGATAGTCTCTGGGTCGAGGTAGTGTGCCAACTTTTTGAAGAAGTGATCTGCACCACAATTGGGTAAGTCATGTGCCCACTTGTGGGTATGATTGTAGTTCAAATGATATGACTCCGCGTTCCATGCTTTCGATCCAAATCGAATTTCAAATTGTAAATGTGACTGAATTTTGTCCATTACGATTCTGTCTGCGCCACTGTGTATCTCAATGATCTGCCTCATCTTGATCATAGGCGAATCCACCAATAGCGCCGATGTCCAACAATACACGCGGCAATCATCAGACTGTCTAATCCATCTTGAATCCTCGTCGGGGTCGTAGTCTGGATGATCAAGGAAATTCGATGGCGGATCAATGATGTTATCGAGGATGCTTGCCTCGATCTGCTCTTCTGCTTGGATGTCTGCCGAGAGGTCTGCCCTCATGTTGTCGTTCGCAGCTTTCTCATCTGCAGTAAGAACGATATTTGATATGTCCACGATTACGGTGATCAGTGGATCATGCGATGATGCTGTACCCTGTCGAGGAATGTCGCCCGTCTGAGCGTTGTCCTCGGCAGGTGTGGCCACCAGCTCGTCTGGATCAGGTGTCCGTGGAGCGGGCCTTCTTGGTGGTGTACGCGGAATACGTGGTCTATGGATGCTAGGCATTCCAAGGTATGGTAAGCTGCCGCTAACCTTGTGCTGCAGTATCTCCTCGCTGCAAGATGTCGGGCCTTTCAGGGCAGTCTCCATCCATGTTGGATCGATGGCGTGTTCTTCGATACGAATCGGCAATGCAAATACAACGCCCTTGAGGGGCATGCTTTTGTCATTATACCAGATATTTACCCATCGTAAACCGTAGTTGAGAATAGGTACTTGTACCGCAAAGAACTTGTCGAAGATGCCGAAATGGATGATTGGACCATATATGTGTCCCTTGGACAAGGCAATCTTGGTATTGTGATTGCCTTTGGGCCAATGGTTGTCGTAGT